CATAATAATTTCTAAAGATATCCTTCGGAATATGTAGTTAATGCTTTGTTGATAAAAAGAGTGAGACAGGCCTTTTATATTTCAGGCAATTTTCATATTTTACCCTTGGCAATTTTTATAATTAACTATTGTTCAATGGCCATTATAATATTTATCTTTTTAAATATATAGTCAAATGAACTCAACCAGACAGATTGAGCGTAATGTACCTTGAAGATAGAGGTAAAAACAGCATATTTGAACCTTATTAAAGCAACGATCTTTATAATAACGGAAAACGGTAGCCATTTTAATTCTTTAGTGTAGGGAGACGTAGGCAAAACTTTCATTTCTACGATTTGAATTTTTCTTTCAATATTCTATAAATGTCCTCGAATAAAAACACTAAGCAGTCAGAGGTACAAATCTTTTTCTCTTTATAAAGAATAAAATGGTGGTTTCCCAACTTGACCCACGTGGGTTAGGTTATAACATGTAGACTTCAAAATAGCTGTTACGGGGAACTATGAAAACGTTAACAAATCTGTCAAATGAATGACTAATAATTATTTCAATCTAACAATATCCAGAATATCTGTAATTGTAATTTCCAGAGGGTTTTACAGTAATATGATTTGTTTTAAAACTACTCGGAGACTCTGTGGGCGTCTTAATTTCTTCAATATATGAAAATATAATTACGCTTCAAACCCAAAATATAAAGTATTTATAAAGAAATTCATGCTAGTAATTTTAGCATGATTTGAATAAATAACATCAATTTACTATTTTTGTCATTCATTTGTCTAAGTATCCATTTAATTAATTCTATAAAAATATTTTTTACAGATATTTACTTCAAACTTCTCCTCCAACTTATAAACTTTCCTCAAAATTCCGACGTAAGTAAACCTTAAAATCTTCAATAACACAATATAAATAGCATGTCCGTGTTAACATGTGTTTACGCAAGAAGAGTGACGTCATTTAAATCGCTGAAGTGCACATTTTGGCGTGTCATTAAGACCGTTTTTCTCGCGCCGTGCGTCATACGTCCAACGAAATTTAGACCCCGACAGAATTACCGAGTAGTTTTAAAACAAGTCATGTGACTTAAACAAACACTGAATGTTACAATAACAGAAAGTGTGGCTATTGTGTGATTGAAATTAGTCAAATTCATTCATTGACATGTTAATTAACGTTTCCAGAGTTCACTGTGACAACTATTGTGAAATCTAAATGCTCTAACTTGACCCACGTGGGTAAAGCTAGGAAACCACCATTTTATTCTTGATAATGATCCTGTGATTGCCTAGTGAGGACATTTACGGAATATGAATGAAAAATTCAAATCGAAAAAATAATTTGTTGCCTGTGTCTCTCTTAAATCCTCTCTATTAATAGAGATATGTTTCGAAATTTGGTTTTTATCTCATTATTAAAAAGAATTTGTTTCTGAATAAGATTGTGAAAACAGTTTTTAAATTAATAGGTTTTTTATCGAGATATACCTTTTAAAGTAATCTCATATATTTGAACACCTTGTGAACAAATTACTTTGAAAAAGTCATTTAGTTGACGTTTAACCTAATTAATTGTAGAATTTTAAAGCGGTAATTGTATTTATCTTAACTCAACTCAATTATTTTGATCCAACTGTTAAAATTAGTAATAAAGCTATGAAAATAAGAGACTTCTCGTTAATTGCGATTATAAACGTTGCTATGCAGTGTAATAACAACACGAACGAGCTTGTCATACACGGCTAATCATTTGTATTTAAATCATTACCACGCTCAATATCTTCAATCTGGACAAAGCCATTCATCATCTTTACGGGAATTAAAAAAAAGAATTTTTGCAGACCATGATCAGAAGGCACAGGTGGGTTTTTGTATGCATAGGTTGAATCATCCCGCTAGCAGAAAAATTGTTACGTAAATACCCAATACAAAGAAATAACAAACAATAGTATATATTATATATATAATAGTCTACGTATTTTAACTTTAAATATTTTTACGGCTTTGAAAAATAATAAATATACAGTTAATTTCAATATTCTACGTTTCTTGTTTATTCCTTACATCAGAACAGTGTAAAATATTGTAAAACAATCAATAATGCCATATGATGAACCAGGGTCTTTCAAATAGAATGGTCTGGAGTTGGACCAATTTTCCGAACAAAAGATGTCTCGGTCGAGTCACGTGATTGAGTTATCTACCAGCCGTGATCTGCCATAGTACATCACCATTCAAAAATCAAATTATAAGATAATGTTAAATCAATCAATTTTTTTTTTCATTCCGGTGTCAATGTAAAAATTTACTGCATATATTTGAAAATAGGTCCGAGTTTGATGAGCTTTTTTAAAATTAATGCATTGTTAAAAGACAAAATAGAAATTGATTTTACAGGGAAGAAAATGTTATTTAGTCGTATCATGTCAACTTCTTTCAAAATGGCGCCGTTTATCGGCAAATATTCTGAATAAGCTATTTATGTTTTTCAACAAATATGGCTTTAAAAAAAAAAAATCTGAAATAATTATCCTTTTTTCACAAGTTTAAAGTTTTTTAAATAACACCATGTCGTAAAAATTTTCATTTTTGCTCTTGTATTTAATGTTCGCCTTTTTCTTGAACACTTACATTATTTGTGTATAGCAAACTGTAAGAGTTGTACCGAGACATGTTAAATTGTAGCGCGTTCAAGACCATTCTATTTGCAAAACCGTGAATGAACTAAGAAAATTAATCCGAACACCAATATCTTTAATTCAGTCGTTTACGCTGTACAGACGTTTAAAGTGTTGTTTACGTGACGTCACAATGTAGCGCCAAACAGCACGTGCAAAAAAATCAAATAAAGTACGCTAGTTTAATGTCGCAACCGAGTTAAGTTTTACATTTTTAATAACTTGTTTTTCGCTTGAAAAATTATAGAGTGAAATAAAATAAACAAAGAAAGATTTATCAACATTTTCAAAATTTGTTATTCTCAAAATGTTTCTATCCTCGGTAGATTTAACGACAGTTTTTCAACACATTGGAACATCCTTTAAAGAACGTTTCTATTGGAAACTCTGAGGCGAAAACAAATTTAACCACCAAACATAAAGTCCAACTTTATAATAATAATTATATTTTTTCTTGACGTGTTAGAATGGAAATAGATATTAATTCTTCGTGCATTATTGTATAATAATGCACGTTTTTCGTTCAAATGCTTTGTAATTAATCACCCAGGCCTATCGGCCTTCGTGATTATATTACTACGCATTTGAACTCAAACCGTGCATTATTCTACAACAATGCACTCAGAATTGATATCTATTTCCTAAATAACAAGACTGATTACCTTGGCGCACACTTCGCCCCAAATATCTGTTGCGATCTGCTGTCTACCCCGAACCCCCAGGCGTTATAACTCTTGGACAGACACCTGAACTGAACCGGAGGATGGTTCTTTCGAGACTTTGCTAAGGTGTTTCTCGCTTCCGGGTGTTACTCTTGCCATCACCGCACCCGGTATGTCTGACTCGAACCGAATGTGCTGGAATTTTCTATCAAAAGGAAACGATAAATATCCGTAATGACAACTGTCACAAACGTATTTCCTAATATGCCTCTATAAATCAATAAAATTAAATATTATTAAGTGCACATTTAAAAATATTTGAGTTAAAAGAACGATACAACTTGTTCAGTTCGTACAGGTCATGACTGTAAACTTACTCACGTGACTCATTTTCATAAACTATTCTGTCAGTTTGTAAAATAATAAAAAAAAATAAGACCATCCTAACAAAATAATCTTTTAATTTTGAAAAAAAATATGTAAGAACAACTTAAGTGACTGATATTTTAAATTGTGAACAGATATGCATTACTAATATTGGAACAGCAGAACGTACTGCACATTTATTTTGCAGGTACTGTACTGGTTCTGTGACGGAAATACTTGCAAACCAGATTTGCTGCTACTTGTACAGGTACTGAATTATTGCCTCAAAATTTTGTACTGGTACTTCATTAATTAGGTACAATATTGGTTTCCATAAAAGATTGAAAGAGTCAATTTCATCACATTTATGATCCTATTTATTTCTATATTTTTATATTAAGAAAACTACGTTGTAGAAATTTATATAAATCAGTCTGTATGCAAAATATGGTGAAATGTAAAAGTACTGGTACTTAATACTTCCAAAATAAAAGTACTGATACAATACTGGAATTTGTACTGATACCGCATAACTTGACAATAACTTCGTCAATCAGGAAGTTAAGTTGTTTGTAGGATGTCATCCGGTCTTGCTTCTAGTATCTGAATTTAACGCATGGTTAAAAGTATAATGGGCCCATCCGAAAAGAAAAAAATGAGGCAAACTGATCTTCTGACTGAAGGAACGAACGTTTCTTCAAAGTCACGTGTGGCAGTACTACGCCGTATACACTAATTTTATAGATCACGTTCCCCATGAAATTAAAAAGGAATCAAAATAAAACATCAATTAAAGTGACGTTATGCCTATCCAAGTGTAAATGGTGGGTGGAAAGGTCAAAGTCAAAACAACTTGAGTTTTTTTCCATAATAGGTCTCTATTTTATAATATAGATAAGAGTCCATTAGAATAATCAAAGACCCACATGAGCCACAATAAAATCTATAGATATCCTTCAGAAGATATCGTTTACGTTCCTTTGATAAAAAGAGTGAGGCCGACCCTCTATATGTCAGGCAATTGATAATATTTTATCCATGACATTTTTATAATCAATTATTGTTCAATGGCCATGATAATAGTCAATCTTTTTAAATATATATAATAGTCAATAGTTTTAAATATATAGTCGATTTTGAATGGGGCAGGGCTTTTATCATGTTTTAAACGAAAAACAAGGTATCTGAACTTTTTTATAGCAACGATCTTTATAGTCACGTGATATATGGTAGTGATTGGTCATGAAATTTGAGCTATCATGTTTTGTTGAAAATTGTGGAAATCGGAGAAAAAAGGCACTTATTTTTTCGGAAGTGTTCATATTATTAAGGTTGATGCCTGCTAAGTAGAAATCGAATAAAAAGGACTCTGGAAATTTAGATAAACAGACAGACAAGCAGACAAAAAGTGAAACACGAAAAGCTACTTCGCCATTATACACAAATAACACACAGGTTAGTGGATTTGACATATCATTGAATACTAGTTGTATTTTATCTAAGATTTATTCTCAGGTACTACTGAATCGGCTAACAATATGGACTGGAAAACACGAAAAACTTGTTAATAGTTAATTTGGCTTTCAAAAGGGTAACAACACGGTTGATTGTTTATTCCTTTTACATTCAATTATTTCAAAAGTATTATATTCGGGTAAAATACTGAACTCCATATTTATTGATTATGAAAAATGTTTCGACGAAATTAATCGTTCCTTTCTTTGGCAAAAACTTATAGCAGAAAATGTAAGTACTAAAATGGTAAAAGCTATAAAAGCAATGTACACTGTAGTACGAGCATCTATTAAATATAATGGGGTAGTAAATAATGATGTTATAAACTCTTATCAAGGCGTTAAGCAGTGAGACCCCAGTTTTTCTCTTTTGCTCATGATGTTCGTAAATTATCTAATGAGTAATTTAAATGCAGACCTTGATGGAAATTTCGCCTTAAATGAGCTTAGTCTGTTTTTTTTTAATTTTATATGCTGATGACCAAGTATAATTTGCTACAAATCCCAACACCTAACAAAACTTGCTTAAAGATATCGAAATATACTGTCTGTAATACTTTCGGATTAAATATAAACATAGATAAACCAACGCTATGTTTTTTGAAAGGGGCAGACCTACAAAATTTAATTTTCATCTTTATGGTTAAAAGCTTGAAATAGAATAGTAACGTCTTTTTAATATTTGGGAATATACCTTTTTGAAAATGGAAATTTGTCACGAACACAAAAAAGCATAGCAGAACATGCATCGAAAGCACTTTATAGACTGTTTGCTATTCTTCATCGATATGAATTCAAAACTAGTGAAAAATGTAAATTCTTTGATTCATTAGTAGCATCAATTCTAAATTACTGTTCGGAGGTATGGGGAAATATTGAGGGTAGTGATATTGAATAGATCCACACGAAATTTTGCTGAAAAATCATAGTTGTTAATACCTCAACAAATCTGACAGGATTATATGGAGAACTTGGTAGGCAACCAATGAAAATTGTAAGACAAATAAACATGAATAGGTATTGGTTAAAAATTCAAAAATTGGAAGACAACAAATTAATAAAACGAATACATAATAGGCTAAAACTAGATGCAGATAACAATGTAACTTATAATGGCCAAAATTAAGCATATCAAATTTAAACAATATTAAACAAACAGGGTGTTTCAGATATGGAACGATTTACATAAAAATCATCATTTTTCTGTTTTTGAATTTATAAAACAAAGAATATTAGACCAATATCATCAAACCTTGTTTTCAGAAATAAATAACTCTCAAATACTCTTAACATATTGTAGGATAAAATATTCATTTTCTATCGAACCCTATCTTGATTATTACAGTTTAGAAAGACGTTTCAGAATTGCTCGTAGTAGATTTCGTTTATCATCACACAATCTTGAAATTGAGAGGGAAAGATACTATAATATTCCAAGATTTTAAAGAACTTGCAAATTTTGTCGTTCCTCACTCATTGAAAATGAATACAATTTTCTACTTACTTGCCCGATATATATAGATTTAAGATACAAAATTTTTTACCCTTATTATTTTACATGACCAACATTGCAAAAGTTAATGATGTCTCAAAACAAGAAAGAAATTATCAATTTATCAAAATATCTATACTTTGCTAATAAACGGAGAACAGAATTGCAACCGCAGTAAAATGAATCAACAGTCTCGTGTTAGTAATCAAAAGCTTCTTTGTTTAAATAATAACACTTACTGTAATTTTTATATGACCTATCACTACACATTGGTCTATTATTGTAGGCTAGAAGTAATTGTATATAACATAATGCTGAAATACATTGTTGTTGTTGTTTTTGTTGTTGTTGTAATAACGGTACATTGTTTATAGTAATAGGTTATTTGTTCAAAACGTCAGTACTGAAATAAGCAAGTTATAGGATTGTTTTATTTGTATTGAAATTTTGTTAATGATGTACGAGTTTGTGTCCTTTGTTTGTATAAGGAAATCTCTTAAAATAGACAAATAAACAGAAAAATGTTTATGTACACTAGTATTATAGAACATTTATGATTGGATCACATAAGTTAACTAGGGATCATCTACAAGATGTTTGTTATCTTGAACTGGTGTGAAAGTTCTTAGCGTACAGTTTAACTTTCAGAATCAAACATGGATGTCTGAAAAATGTTAATTTTCTTTTCATGCAGTTAAAGATGTCGTACCTAACATTGTCAATTCGAACAAATCCTTTTGAACTATTGAGAAGTCAAAAACATGCAATATCTGAAGTTATAGATGTATTGAAAGAGATTAAAGTACTGCAGAAAACATCCGACGCTTCTCTGTGTATCAAGGATGATCTAAAGAAGGTATTGTATTAAAACTTTCTTCCTAAATTGTATGTAGTTGTTTCAAAAAACCCATCGTATAATAATGCTTAAATGGCTATGGTCTTCAGGTATTTATCAGAAATATGTTAAAGATGTACATTTAATTTTAATTTCATATCCGATTTACTGCTCTTTTAAGTCAAGACTGTACAAACGTGTTCCCTTAATTACGATATGACAAACCATCATGTCATTTTGAGAAATTATCATTACTTTCATGACATTATTTTTTCTTTAGTAATATGATTAAAGAATGAAATGTCTCAGGATTAATTATTTAAATTCTAGAATTGTGACCTATTTGTAAATCAATCTTTATTGAACAACATGGGAATTCTAATGTTCGCAAATTATTTTGTTATTTCTAGTGCTCATTTCAAATACCAAAGCTTGTCAAGGTGCGAAGTAATCTTGAAAAATGCATTAACGGAATTCGTCACATAGAAGCCCTGGGTAAGTCATGATGTTCAAAGAAAAATGAAATCATAAAATAAATAAATAAATAAAAAATAAAATTTTAAATCTTCCATTTTTTCTTTGTTTAAATGGATATGCTTGTCAAAACTTACATAACAATGTTCTGAAATGCTCAGAATACAAATATTACAGGCGATCATGTGCGTGACAAAATAATTTTGATATTGTTTTATTTTGAATCATTACTAAAGAATTAATCTCCATTTTGTAAGTATTTGAGAATATTATCTTTAAAACTATTTGCAATCAATTCAAAGAAGGTAATTCAATTTAATAAGTCAACATAATATTGCAAATGAATTAAAACAAATTTGAAAATATTTTGATTATCAATACAGATGAGGTCATAGATTATAAACAATAGATGCGCGCGGGTGTTTGATTGTGCTTCCTAAGACAGCACTACATTTGATATTATTTAGATTGTATCGATTTTCCATCATTTGTTTCCCATCTTTATTTCACTTGTCAAACGAAGAAATTAATGAATATAATTTAAAATAAATTAAATTTTGAAATCATGTTTCTTGTCTATTTTCCCTTCTAGAAGATCACTTGTCGCAGCAGAAAGATATGCCATCATCATCGGCTTCGGTTAGTATTATTCCAAAAGTTCTTGTCGTTAACTAGCGAGTTTTTTTAAGTTCTACTGATCTAAAATGACTTTAATATTATGCATGTGTGCATTGAAATATTTTGTTAAAAACGAATTGGTTTGGGAATTGACGTATCATTGTTATTCATACAATAAATATATATGTATTTAATTTTTCAGCACCCCGGCGTATTAGGATAAAAGGATACCAAATTCAAAAAGTTCCAAAATGA